TTCTGCCTTTCTTTCTATGTTCCTAAATGAGGCTCTTACGCTGCTGTGGTTCCACAGACCGGGGTGAGGAGGTGGAGGAGGTGGGGGCAGGGGCTCAGTGGCCAGGGTTATGCAGGGATGACCGCATTCATGCCAGATCCCTGTGCCTCCTTTTGGTTTAACTCCTTGGCCCTCCACCTTAGTTGAAAGAATCAGAGAATTCGTCTCCTGATGCCTGAAGTATTAGCAAAAAAGAAAGAAAAGTGCAGTTAACAATAGCCACCCATAACATCCGGATGAGTGAATTATTCTCTGACCAAAGCAAACTTGTGGGTTAAGTGTGCAGTGCAATGCAACTTTATGTATCTTTCCTATTTAAAGAAATGCCGTAGATCGAGTTACGAGGCTGTACATACAAGAAACACCTCCCCTGGCTCCAAACCCTCCAAACATGTCATATATTTCATTTTTAACAGCCCAAAGTACATATTCGTATCCCCAGTGTTGAGAAAGAATCAGCTCTATCAGGTGTCATCTACAGTAACATTTTGTAACAGCATATCAATAATGCCTTTCCTGATACTTGAGAAGACCTGCAAGCAACAAGCTTACAGGAAGGCCTATTGACCAAGTCCCAATGTTGTTTATTTTCCTGTCAGGGTCTATAGCCGCACACTATCAGGAACTCAATGCTGTCCTCCAAGAATGACTTCAAGAGAGACCGATATTGTTTCTGTCCCGGAATGACTTTCAATTTATGGCCTTCTATTCGCAAATGTATTGCTTCATCATCTGCAGAGTCAGTTTACACCTAACCTTTGTGCCTGATATGTCCAGTATGTGCCCCAACTTGGGACTGGATACATCTAATGCAACATTAAATCCATTTTTTTGTCATTTACATATTCACATATTCCCAGTCAGCCTGCTAAAAAAAACCTTGCTCAAAAACTTGAATGGCTGAGCGGCTATCTGGGTTACAGAGATCAGTGCTTGCATTAATTCATGTGGCTTTTATAAACAGTTAACTTGGTCGCTTTCCAACTCCCCTCCCAGCTTCCATCCTCGCGTCTTGTTCTCTGCCGGTCTTATGTAGAGTTTCATTTTGTTAGCTGGCTGGCCAAGACTGGATTTAAAGATTAGATATGCTAAGTGAAAGCAGAAGGGGGACATCTTGTTTTCTCATTGTTTTTTTGGCCTTGCTGATTGCTGCGTAAAAGCCAAAAACACAGGTTTTTGAGCCTTCTTGTACTCGCTGAAGTTTCTGCCTTTATCATCACTCATTACAGGGCGTTCTCATCACAGAAGTGCTGGCCTACATATTAAGAAAAGGGAACTGCAGCAGGAAGCAGCCTCCATGGTTTAGTAGCAATTGATTCTGAAGCACAATATACTGTATATACATGTATTATCATTATTATTTTTACATTTTATTTCAAACTGAATTATACATAAGTTCCCTGGATTCTTTTTTATGTTTACTTGAAACAAGTAAGCAAAGAAACCCCAAGCTGAATCCAACCATAGAGTTCAGAGGAATTCTTAACAAGTTGAAAGCACCACAGAGACATGTCTTCCTAGTTTTGAAAAGGAATTTCTCAAGACAAATGTTTATTTTAGTGAATGCTTAGAAGACAGTCATACACACTAAAAAACACTGGGTTAAAAATTTACCCAATGTGGGGTCAATAAAGCACCAACGCAAAACTGGGTTAACTTGACCCAGTACAGTACTACTGAGTTACTGGATCAAAACAACCTTCTGTTGGGTGGTTTCTACCCATTGGCACTGGGTAAAATGAACCCAGTATTGCATCAGCGCTCCATTGACCACACATTCAGTTTTACCAAATATTAAGCAGTCTTGTCCTCAAATTGTATTTTCTGAGGCTTCCTGCCTGTAGCATGTTGAATGAATGGAGGACTGACAGCCATTGGCAGGTCTCTAATGTGGTTATGAAACATAAATCAGGCTGAAATGAGAGGACATTTCTGATATTGGTTGTTTCTTTGGAACGCGCTGCCTTTTCTTCAAAGCCACCAGAGTTAAAAAAGCAACGCGTTATGCTTTGGGCAATGTCTGCGAATATAAATCTCTCTGTACCAGAGGCGTCTACACACACAGGGCCCAAAGACAACATGTTACATTCCTCGCCGTTTACAAGCAGTGGGAGAGGAGGT